CACGTTGTTTCAATTATAATTGGGTCGTGATGCTACTAATGTATTGTCTACCAAACACAATATCCCTATGTTTACAGACACCAAACACAATATCCCTATGTTTACAGAGGGGTACAAAAGTATTCTAGTTGTTGTTAGTGATTTTATCGTGTTTCTTGTCAGAAAAACGCGTAGGTTCAAAAAGTCTTGATCACAGATGATAGAATCCCAAAATCCTGAGCACTTTCGTAAGTAAACCTTTCTTCTTCGAGGCAAACTGGGAATTTCACACAATACCATATATTTCTTGCGTTATACTTCGAAATGTGATTTTTCTCATTTGTAGGAGGGGAAAAGAAAAAATTGGCCAACCTTTGGAGAATTTATAGTTAACTTGTAATTACGTTTTTTGTTTTTTTTCTGATTGTGTTATCACATGAAACGCCATGCATTAGATGTATATTACGTATTACTAATGGTATAATTACTCGGACTATTATTCTTGTCCTTATTATGTTTTTTTTTACAACGTTTCAACCAGTGAATTCTCTGGCCGTATTCAGGTATAATATTATACATTTTGTATGCGTCACAACCAGAAAGCCTAAGTGGTTAGAGTGCCCGTATTCGAGATCACAGATTCGGGGTTTAATCCTGGTAATCCCTCCCCCACACACACACAAAACTTTCTGGTCGTGACGCATTCAAAATGTTTTATATAACACCTGACGGCCGGAGAATTCACTGGTTGAAACGTTGTGAAAAAAATACACATAATAAGGACAAGAATAACAATCCGAATAATTATACCATTAGTAATAAAAACACCTCGTCTCAATCATTCCACAAAACTATGTTTCTTACTTATGTTATTACTGTGACAATAATTTCTTCATATTCTACGAGGAGACAGCCCAATGTGATAAACCACGTGTATATTTTCCCAGCAGCAGTGCAATGTTTAAAGAGGAATTATATATAATCAGCTGGAATGAGCTATAATAATGACTAGCAGAGACCCGCAAAACATTTCTGGCCAAATTAGTATCTTTATCGTAACAGTACTTCTTTAAATATAATATTTCTAGCACAATAAATGTGTAAATCCACTTGTATATAGACCATACTTTATAAAACTTTAACTTATGTTAGGCCTAAGTTCGATAAAGAGATAAATTAACACTGTAACCTGTGTACATAAAGTATATTTACATTTCCCTTTTGTTGTTACTTCTTATTTCATACAGCAATTGACTCGACGTGATCACTGAGCTTTGCAGCTCTCTGCCGCAGCCAGACTGTTTGTCGTCGAGTGAATAATGCGCATGCGCGGTTTTTCTTGGCGAAACATTCTAACTGCGCATGCTTATGCAGCAGGTTCTCGGTCAGAAAACGTAACGGTCGTACATACAAACAAACAGAATGATAGTATAGATTCTTTCACGCTTCTGTAGCTCGCATACACCAGTTCATGATTTAAAAAGAAGACGTTTTACTTGTTCTTGGAATGTTCCAAAATAGGGTTCTTGAAAACTATGACTAACAAAGAAGACGTCGATCAAAAATTATTAAAAACAAAACTATGTTTATCTACCCATAAGACAAAAGTATAAGATACATAATGAAATATCTGTAGACAAATTTTTGGCTTCATTAAGAGTTATTGTTTTTATTTATTTCCCGAAAAAACTTAACGCGCCATCTTCCTTAACTTTGTGTACATGTATGTATGGGGAAGAAGAAAATTCGTTTTCCGTATATGAACAGTTGGTTGTCTTCAGCCTTTTGTTGACATAATAGAATAGCGGATGAATCCGAGCTTAATTAAATTGGACGTAATATTTCAAAGGATTAATTCCACATATAAAATAAGAAGAATAGTCTGTGTCTTTCCAAACCAGTGCTTGTTCATTGCCTTTACTTGAAATCATGACAGATGAACATGAAATTAATATTCATTTCGTTCGTTTTAATATGTAGGCTTAACGAGTGAAAGATTTTTAAGAAAGACGATTATGTTATAAAAATAGCATGTGCTAGGTTTAGAAAATACTTTTCTCTACTATGATAAAAATCTTATTTCTGTCTCAAGAAGTTAAGAATTTCTACCTTCCTCTTCTACAGCAGAAGATCGGTGGTTCTTTGATATAATTTAAATCAACAGAAGCAAACCGCTTTTTACAGAGCTTTTATAAAAACTTAAAATTAAAAAAGTGTTATTGCAAGAACCCAGTGTCTCAGCGGTAGAAATCGGGTTTTGATACACGTGGTAAGCACGGCACAGATAGCTCGTTGTGTAGTTTTGTGCTTAACAACAAACAGAAACAAACTGTTATGTGTTTTGTGTATCCTTTGTGTTCCGAGTGCTCGATATGCTCTTCCTCATGTGTTTGTTATTTCGTTTGTTACGCGCCATTACTCACTATTGAATACTTGT